TCTGCTGATTATTCCTGTGGATTTTGAGTCTCTGTAGTCCAAACTTGAATGATTAAAGTTCATCTTAAAACTAACATATTCCTACTTTTTATTTTCTAAGCAGAGAAACTTCAGTAACTTCTGCCTGTAAACATGAACAGTAATTAAACCACAGAAGAAACACATTCCTGGTGATCAGTTTAAGTTTTTGAGTGAAGGCACATTTTATATTTAAGCTCATCATTAAAAAGGAGGAGTCATCTGTCTGTAATCTAAGTAGCATTTTATGTTTAGACATCTGCTGAGGCCATCCTTTTCCATCTATCCATTTTTGTAAATACTTATCTAATTCACTTAGGTGGAGGGTCCAATCTATCCCAGAGGTAACAGAGTGATCGGTGGGGGTACGACCCAGGGCAGGTTGATGGGAGAGTAATTTGAGAGTAATTCTAGTTTATTCTATTAAAGTGGCGTCAAACGAATTTCATATCTCAGCTATTAATGTCCCATCAGTATGTTGGAGCTGATTCTTCAGCCCTGCTGAGAATCCAGTTGAATGCACAACCACGCGGTCAATCGCATGCAAAGACAGACTGCGATCGTACCATTATGTGAAAGAAGAAAGGGCGGCAGATGTTTTAAAATAGCAAGTGTAGTGGTACAGGCCAGGTACACAGACAGACGGGGGAGCCTGTCGGGAAAAAGTGAAGAAGCGGACAAAAACGTAAAATAGCAGCATCTGGCTGCATTTCAGTGATATCGAGGACTGCAAAGCAGAGTGCAGAATTGATAAAACTAGGAGCAGGCTAAAGTGATACCTGTTTTTATTTTCAGCCATTATCCATTGCCGAGGACAACACGTTTCAAGACTTATGACGACTTTGAAACCACGTATCGCTCTTACTCTCAACAAGCAGCGGGTGCTGCTGTGGGCACCTCGCCAAAGCGCTCACAGGCGGCAGATAGTCCCCCCAGGTCAGGGGTCTGCAACCTTTAACACCCAAACAGCCACTTGGACCAGGTTTCCACGCAAAAGAAAACACTGGGAGCCGCAAATACTTTTTGAAATCTAAAATGAAGATACCACTGTATATATTGTTTGTTTGTTTTTACCTTTATGCTTTGTGTGAACAACTAAGTAAGTAAAGTTTATTTATTAAGCGCTTTTCACAGACAGGCAGTCACAAAGCGCTGTACACAAATATTAAAATAAACAATACAATCAATAGACATTATACACAATGTAAAAGATCAAATGTAAATAATGTAAAGAATATAAAATGCGTAGATCAACAAAAGGCTTGTTTGAACAGAAAGGTTTTTAACTGCTTTTTAAAAGAATCCACAGAACAATTAAGGTGTGTTGCTTATGATATTCATGAAGTGCTACAGAGAAAATTACATTTTATTCATGTAATTAACACATTTTGAACTCTTAAAAAATATAACAAAAGGAAAGACACCCAGCTGAACTAAAATGATCCATGTAGCAAACAAAAACTGTTGTGAGCCGCCACCCTTATATCGTCTTTGGGCTTTTGGAGCCTGGACCTGACTTTTAAAAAATAATTGGAAAAAAAGCACGATGCTGCTAAAATATATATATATATATTTGCAAAATTCTGCCTAAATATGTATTTTACCTGGTTAATGTGTGTGGCGGGGCGTGGTCTGCAGCGCCGCTGCAGGGTAGGCGGACGCACCTGAGCGGGACCCGCAATCACGCCTCGCCTGTGCCCTCTCTGCTGTTGAAAAGCTACAGCTGGCTGTATGCTACAGCAACCGTGTGTGAAAAGGGGTCAGTAAAGAGATGCTGAAAAGCATGCTCATGAAATCATCGATATGTTTACAATAAGACTTGTGGTCCCGAACCTCTGTTCACAGCGTCTGCAAATCGGGGCTTTCATCTTTACGCAGGACATCTGTGAGGCGTGAGCGGTGTTTGTTTTTAACATAGTTCACAGTGGAGAATGGCTGCTAACATAATGAGGATCCGAAGATCCATAACTGGCCTACC